GTGATGCTATTGTTTCTTTTTAATCGAACTATCTAAAAATAGATTATTTATTAATGCATAAGGTATTATTTAAGTAGTTTGGATACTCATTTTATAATGAAGGTGATTAAAAAACAATTCTAATCCATCATATATACTTTTGAATAATATTATTTGCAGTCGCTATATGAGACGGTTTGCAAGAAACAAAATAATAATAACAACAATAACAACAACATATAAATGAATTAAATTATAAATCGCCAGCTAAGTTGTCACGTATGATGACTGTTCCATTGAGTGACTATGAATAGTATTACTTTATACATTTAATGGTCATTTTCATTGAACTAATTGCTAAAGACATAAATAAATAAATAAATAAATAAGCTACAATTGGAACAAGTCTTGCTTGTTACTGAAATGAATCAAGAAAAAAACTAATTTAAATGCTTCATTAAATTATAATTTAAGCTTTTCCGTCGAGTTGAAATTAGAGCTTTTTTAAGCTTCTCTAAGATCTCGCACGGAAGAAAAGGTGTTTTATCTAGCGCAAAAAGATGATTTCTTTTTAATTTTGGGGTTTCAAAATATCTTTTTTGGGTTTTCAAAAGTTCTGTCAAATGGACTCTTAGTTGATTTTATCTACAAAATCAACTTTGTGTTGTGGTGATGATATGATTGTTTGACGATAATAGAGGAGGGTTTGCCTCCTATCTCGCAGGAGGGAAATCGTATACGAAAGTAGTAAGTGGGAAGAAAGCACCATATCTTTCAAAATTTGAAATCCTTTGAAGTAATAGCACTAGAGATATAATCGGGATTATTGATGATGATGGAGCTATGGTTTACAGGAATGAACCTTTCATACACCAATTTCAAGTGATGAACTGTAAAAATAATCACAACGGTTTAATTGTCAAATCATCTGTAGCTTTTATCTTCTTCTTACAAGACCCGAGATTATCTATACAATCAAGAAGCCATCTTAATCATTTAGAAGATACCACACAATATTTTAATGTCAATCAAATGTATATATATCGCACTATGTTTTTAGAGCTATTCGTTATGATCATTATCTTTGCAAATAATCACCATTTATTCTACATGCTTTCTCTGATTTTGATTGGGTTGGAAATGCTAATGATTCTACTTCTACCTTGCATATATAGCATTTTTTGGTCATAATCCAAGGGAAATAATCTAATGGGGCATTGGTGCTTAACTTAAGCACCGATGACATGACACGCCATTTAATTGGTGAATTATCGGTGCTTAACATAAACTAAGCATTGTTACCCCTAAGATCATTTCCCCATAATCCAATGAATAAATATATGTACCGAGGGGGTTATTGAATAGTGTCCTCCTCTCACAAATGTGTGCGGACCCTGTGTGAATTTAAAAATGATGGCCTGTGGTCTTCACTCCTATTGTGAGTAGTAGGTAAAAGATTCAGTACGTATAACATTATCCTAATCCAATAGGTTGGTTGTCTCGTGGTCAAAGAATTGTGACTTGATCTTCTACAGAGATTTAAGTTTAAAGTTGTTGTAGTCAAGGCAATTCTTCATGAGATTGGAGAAACTATTAACTCTGCTTCAACCATCTAATGTGATCATTTCAGCACTATGTATACTTGTTCTAAATTCTAATTCGGTGTTTCATTCCCATATGAAACATGATAGGGTGATGTTCATTTTGTTTGAGACAAGATTCAATCTAAAACATTTCGTGTATCACATGCTTTTTCTACTCACCGGCTAGTAAATTCATTCATAGGCCTCTATCTAAGTCTCAATTTCAACTTTTACGTTTGATAGGTGAGACCACTATCTTGCAGGGAATGTTAAAGATAAAGTTCGTATTCTAAATATTCATTAACATTGTTAATCAATTTTAGTGGATTGCTCCCACACAAGTATGTCTAAGCAGAATTGCTTTCAACATGTAACTCTATAACTATTCATATGTAACTTTATAAATATTGTCAATAATATAGAGATGATTCATGTTGCTCAATCAATTCCTCCAAGTGCTGAACGCAACAATTAGTAACATAAAGCTCCTATTTGATGTCTCTAAAAATCTATATATATATATTTTTTTATCACATATTGAATAAAATATGATGAAACATGTTTTTATAAAATTGATAGAAGTTGTGGATTTTATAAGGTGTGTGGTCAAAATTAATAATTAATTTTAACTTAAATTTTTATCAACTTTTTATAAAACAAAAAGTGCGGAGGCTTTTGGTCACGAGTTCGATTCTCTCTACCAATACTTTCTCGATCGAGCCTGTCGCACGGACTTAACTTAAGATTGCCTGTATTTTTCAATTTTCAAAATTGTCACGCGTGTTCAAAATGGGTCAAAGCCTTACCAACTAAGTAAAACCATTCAAAGCACATGACAATTACAACTGACCCAGCAGCATATCGAAAAAGCCAACAACAAATGAGGCACTGATTGAAAAGGCACAGCTTACGTCCATTATGATAGATCTTTTAAGAATTTAGCCGTACATAGAGTCTCTTTTAAACCATTAATTGATGTCAAAATCTACAGTCCATTTGATGTAATTTTTTTTTGAAAAGTAACGTTTAAAGAAATTTGTAATTAACAAAAAGGTAAAAATTATGAGTCTATGTTTAAAATTATTTTTTTGAAAAATGTGTGATTAAAAATAAAAAAAAGAGTTTTAAAAAGCCTATATTAAAATCTTTTCCCCCCCCCTTTTTTGTTAAAAATATATTTTGAAATAATATTTTGATAGAGAATGTGACGTTAAAAAATAAGAATTTTTTTTCTTTGCATTTGCGCGTTATATTATTTTATTGAAAAATGTGTAATTAAAAATATATTTTAAAAATAATGGACCAAACATGAGAAAAGTAAAAAATTCAGTCAACCAAAGTAAATAAATTTTCTTTACTGAAAACAAAAATGACAACCGTCTTTTCCTTTAATTCAACAAAAGTAAAATCAAAAGCAGAAAAATAAACCCACCATTTTCGTTGGCCGCTCCTTTATGTGAATAACTCAATAAAGTAACGGATTATTCTTTTCTTCACTTTTTTTTTCTTCTACTACAAGTACTTCGATACATTGATTGTACCCCCGTCGTCTCCTAATTCCTCCACCACCAGCCACCCACATCCATTGAAACCACCGTATTCATTGTTATTTAAGCCGTGCACTACTCAGCTCCATAGCCGAAGCTTCAAATATGCGGAAATCTTCCATCTTCTTCCTAATTTGCTTTTTGTTGCAGTATTTTTGCTCTTCAAGTAAGTCAATTTACACTTTCTTTTTTCAAATTCATTTCGTGGGATTGCTTTTTGTTTGTTTTTGTTTTTGTTTTTTTTTTTAAATTATTTATTTTTGTTCCTCTTTTTCATGCAATTAACCGACAGCCCACCTAGAAACATCGCGAGGTTCATTGAACACTTGTCTGTAACTGATAGCACTAAAGTAAATTTATAGGAAAAATTACTCGTTTTTTACACGATACCCGCCCAGTACTATCCAATCCTGGTACCAAATCTTGGCCACTGAGTCAACTCATCCAGACTCGCTCTTTTACTGTACTTTTACAGACTCGGAGTCCTTTGTTGGAGTAAATTACGGCATAGTAGCCGACAACCTTCCGCCACCGGATGCCACGGCGAAGCTTTTGAAGTCGACGAGCATCGAGAAGGTGCGGCTGTACGGCGCCGACCCGGCGATTATTAAGGCGCTAGCGAACTCTGGTATTGGAATCGTGATTGGCGCCGCTAACGGGGATATTCCTGCAATGGCGTCCGACCCGAACTTCGCGGGTCAATGGGTCAATTCGAATGTGATGGCGTATTACCCGGCAAGCAAGATCATTGTCGTCTCTGTTGGTAATGAGGTCGTGACCTCGGGGGATCAGAATCTACTGTCCAATCTCTTACCTGCCATGCGAAATGTCCAAAATGCCCTCAATTCAGGTAATAATTACCGATGAATTTGATCCTTCGTTTTATTTCAAATTAGTCACGAGATGTCTTTGTTTCAAATTTGTTACTTTGTCGGTTTTTCAAACACACAACATAATTATATAATTAACATTTAAGTTTAGCTACCAACTTGAAACAAAGTTTAGTTTAGCGATCAATTGAAACGAAGAAGTTTGGTGATCAATGTGAAATTTTGCTCAAAGTTTAAAGACAATCAGTGTTCTCTTTTTATTTTTGAATACTTTTATGCAGTTTGCAGTTTGTTGCTTGATAATGTTTGTCATTCTCAGAAAAAGGAAGGTCACCCAACCCTTCTACGTGTACAGAAGGATTTTTGCCAGAATACACACAAAAAACTCACGGTTCTGGGGCGCACACACATTTTTGGCATTTTTTATACAACATGGGGCCCACATACTTGTCCCTATTCTGTACCCAGTTTGTGAAAATTTTTCTGTACACCCAGATTTTTTCAAGGTCACCGTAGGAGTCAGTCTTCACTTATCCATACAAACCCCAAGAATGGACCTTTTTTTGGGATCCCATGAAATGTGTAGATAAAAATTGGTTTGACCGTTTATATATGGCTTATAAACTTAGTTGGTTGCCTAAGAGCACGAGAAGGAAAAAAGGAAGGAAAAATGAAATTTTAATTTTTGAATGTTTAATATCGAACTTTTATCAAAAAAGAGTGATGGATTAATAGGTATTGAATGGTTTACAATGTAAATTGCAGCTTCACTAGGTGGAAAAATCAAGGTCTCGACTGTTCATTCCATGGCAGTATTGGGCCAGTCGGAACCACCTTCAGCGGGGGCTTTCAATTCTAGTTTTGGAGACACATTGAAAGCTTTATTGCAGTTTCAAAGTGAAAACAGTTCGCCTTTTATGATCAATCCATATCCTTTCTTTGCCTATCAAAGCGATCCGAGGCCTGAAACCTTGGCTTTCTGTCTTTTCCAACCAAATGCTGGTCGAGTGGACTCGAGAACGGGTATTAAATACATGAACATGTTCGATGCCCAGGTAAATTACTAAATCTAGTCACAAATTTTGAGAGTACATGAAGATTAGCAAGACATTGAACTATGAAATGACGGAAAGTTTGTACTAATAGGGTTTTCTAGTCTAAAATTTTGTACGGTGTAGGTTGATGCTGTACACTCGGCATTGAGTGCAATGGGATTCAAGGATGTCGAGATTGTGGTTGCTGAGACAGGATGGCCTTATAAAGGAGACCCAAATGAAGTTGGCCCAAGTTTAGACAATGCAAAAAACTATAATGGAAACTTGATAAATTACCTTAGATCAAAGGTTGGCACACCACTTATGCCTGGAAAATCTGTCGACACATATATCTTTGCACTCTATGACGAGAATTTGAAACCTGGTCCTGGCTCAGAGCGGTCTTTTGGGCTCTTCAGGTCCGATCTTTCCATGATTTATGATGCTGGTCTTTCGAAGAGCGCACAGGCAAGAGAACTTTCTGTTTTCTGACATCTAGAATGCATTGAAACACTTCTTTAACTTGAAAATGTTGATATATGATTTTGCTTTTCCACAGTAGAAACCAAATGTTGGAAAAATTAAGTGCATGAATGTTAAGCAATATTAGATTGTATTGGACCGGACGTACAATTGACAATATTTTGATCTTCTAACTCACACTTAAAAGAAAAAAAAAAAAAAAATGATGGAACTTACCGATTCTAGAAATTTTTGCCTTTTGAGCCTTCAATCTTTTTGGTTGATCTGCCTAGACACCAGCATCAACTCCATTGACTCCCGCTCCAACGGCATCAGCAGCAACCTTGACTCCTTCTCCGACTCCCGTGATGCCTTCTCCAAAAACGCCAACAACAACTCCTGCAATTCTTGCTCCAACGACTCCCTCTACTCCGTTAACTCCAGGGATACTACCACCAGGATCAGGTACTTGTATGCTTGTCATCTCTGTATCTCGATTTCATTCCAATATAAGGTGATGTCTGTTTTGATCTAAATACTGTAGTATAAGTATCAAATACTGCTTAATCAATGGTTCTTTTCTTTCAATTTGCTGGCAGAAATACGTGGAACTGCAACTTCTTGCGAGCCGCTACACTCTCTACTACTAATTATAGTAAGTGCTTATTTGCACGAGGTTAGCACGTAGAATAATTTATGTTTTTTTTCTGGATTATCACACGAACAAGCCACTATAATTAGGTTTGATATAACATGGTAGAGGTCGAGATGTGATTAGTTTTAAGTTTTCATATAACAAAATATCCCAGTTTCACTAATACTTCACGTTGGGTACGTTTGTTTACAATTGCGCTACGTGGACAAAAGACGGCCGACAAAATCTATACAGATAAGACACGGCCAGGGGTGGGTTCTTTTTGCACTATTTTATTCACGTAGGGCCCACCCCCAGTGGGAGAGATCTGTCGCATTTTTGTCAAACCCTTTTCTGTACAAATTGATTTTTCCATTTGTTTAATGGAACTTGAGGTGAGAATTAGAACTGAAGAAATAGAAAATGAAGGTTTGATGGTTGAATTTTGGGCATTCTTGGGAGGGCATAAAAGTGATCATAAGTTGTGGGCCTACAAAATGTGTGAGATAAATTAGTAAATGTGGGTCATCCGAAATTTATGACAGAAAGTATGTTTGACGAGCCTAAATGATAATTTAAACTTTGTGAAATATGCATGATGTTTCAAATCTAATCAATTGTTAATTTGTAGGAATTTTTGAAATATATTGCATGTTGTTCTAATAGCTATTCAAAGACTAGTTTATTTGACAATTCGTAACATTTTTTACTCATTATTATTATTATTTTTTCCTTATAATGTAGGTTACAATAATTGCATTTACCATGGTGGAAGTACATAGAGAGTAGTAATCAAAATCGTTATGTTGATGGCGCTATATATTCTTTGTATCTGTATCCACGTTAATCAACAATAAGCTAAATGATAATTCAAGCTTTTTTTTTTTTTTAATTGATTCTTGTATTTTGATTTAGCCTCTCTTGAAATGTGTGTGACAAAAAATGTAGCGAGTAAATCATGTATGAACGTTCCACTATGTGCTCACAAAAAAAAAAAAAAAGGATCTTCAATGGTGTAATCTTCAATCTTAAAATACATGTTTTAATTGTTAGTTAGTCGTTCAACCTGCAACTGTTACTATGGCATATCTTTAGTAGCATTTCATGACGCTCAAAATGAACTTGCATATGGTACTTTCTTTAATAGCTTATTTAGCTGTTGTATATTTGGTTTTAGTTGATGACAAGGCAACAATCTTTAGCGGTTTGAGATTTCAAACTAATGAAAGTTCCTCAAAGTTTATAGACGTGAAGAAATTGACCCTCAAAATTTATAGACATATGAAGAAATTCACTTCCTATTATCTCTATTCTCCCCAAAGTTGGAGTCCACAAAGTCTTTAAGGCCTCGTTTGGGAGTGATTTTGAGAATTGATTATTTGACTGTTAGGAGAAAAGGGGGG